CCTGGAATTTTGAGGGGCTTAGGCGGGTCTGCGAGCCCGGGGTCACAGGTCACTGTCGGGATACAGAACCCGGAGGAAGTGTGCAGGTCTCTTTCGGATCATGGGGTGATCGGGTCACACTGACCGCAGACTCGCGGTGTGGACGAGCGAGAGTCCTGATCCTCCTTCGCAGCCTCCCCAGTGCCGGATGACAGTGTTACTGTTGCTGTTTGTGTCTGTTTTGAGGTTTTTCAGGCAGGGTCCCGCCGTGTACCCCAAGCTGGCCTCGAACTCAGAGATCCATCTCCCGAGCTCTGATATCGAAGTCGTGCACCCCCACGGGCCGTATTTATTTGTTTACTGTTATTCTGAGGCATGAGCTCCCTACATAGCCCTGCCTGGCCTGAGCCTCAAAAGACATCCTCTTGCCTCTGCCTCCTGAGCTCTGAGATTAAAATGGGCACCGCCATGAGCACCTAATTCTGGAAGGTCCCTGGTGGGACACACCTGTTAGCAATGTCGGACATCTTTCTGGGGTGCCTTGGGGTCACCTTGGGCATTTGGGACTCTCAGTTTGCACCCTCAAGGCCTGATTCATTCATTTATTCATTCACTCACTCACTGTGCACCTCAAGGCCTCATTTATTCATTCATTGACTGCACCTCAAGGCTTCATTCATGCATTCAGTCATTCACTCACTGTGCACCTCAAGGCCTCATTCATGCATTCACCGTGTGTCCACAGGCCTCTCTTTCATTACTCTACCCTAAGGCTTTGCTCCCAACAGGCAAGTGCTGTAAGGGCAGATGATTTGGGGGATTTTTGTTTTTATTTTGTTTAGTTTGAGACGGGGAGGGGGAGCTCTCTACATTGTCCAGACTGACCTGGAACTCATTCTGTAGATCAACCAGGTTGGTCTTGAACTCCCAGAGCTCCACCTGCCTCTGCCTCCTAGAGAACTCCTGCCTCTGCCTCCCAAGTGCTGGGATTAAAGGTGTGCACCACCACTGCCCGGCCATAGATTTGGGGGATTTTAAAGCTGACAGAACATTGGTGTTGGAGCCAGAAGATGAGTGTGTGTGCTCTGGAGTAAGGGTGGAGTCTGTCTCAGGTAGATGCTGAGTGGAATCAGGCCCTTGCCAGAAGCACCATGTTGGGGAGCCGCTGAGGGAGGAGGTGGGGAATTGTAGCTTCTTGAGCAGACTTCTCTGTATGCCACGTCCTTTGTCCCCAGGCTTCTCATCCGCCTGGGGGATGCTTGTTTTCTGTCTGACTCCCCTAAGAGGGCATTCCAGGAGAGCAGTTAACCTACCTTCCAAACTATAAGCATTGGGGCTCAGATCGAAAGGTGTTCTGGCACTCAGGAGCCACACATGTAGAAGCTTACAGCCCAAATCCAAGGAAAGGCTTCCCCAGTGTAACAGCTCTGCTCTGGCAGGAGAGGGCTTCCCCAGCAAAGTTGTTACAGTTCAGCATTCTGTTTCCTCAGCGAATTAGGCTCTCCTTTCTCCATTCTGGCGAAGGAAGGTCTCATCCAAACTTCATTTAAGAGATTTATTGGGAGGGAAGAATCATGAAGAGTAGCTGCCTCTGCTAGAGTGGAAGAAGACAGTAACAAATGGAACAGGCACAGGGTTTATAGGGGTGGAGTTTTTCCAGAGAGAAGATTTCTAGGGTGGGGATTGTCAGATTTCAGTCCCTTGAGCTCAGATTGGCTAGATCTCATACTCAGGGATTGGTTGGTTTTCTGCTCAGGGTCAGGGCCTGATTTGTCTCTGGTTTTAGGACCAAAGTATGTTTCTCCCACTGGTCCTTTTTAGGCTTTTAGCTCTAACTTGAGGGCCAGGCATATTTCTTTCACTGGCTCTGATTGGAGGGACAGAGTTTCTTTGGCTCTGGTTGCAGGGCCAAAGTTTCTTTTTCTTCTTCTTCTTCTTCTTCTTCTTCTTCTTCTTCTTCTTCTTCTTCTTCTTCTTCTTCTTCTTCCTCTTCTTCCTCCTCTTCCTCCTCTTCCTCTTCCTCTTCCTCCTTCTTCCTTCTTCCTTCCTTCTTTCTTTCTTTTTTTTCTTCTTTTTTCTATGAGTGCTCTGTTTGCATGTGTGCCTACACACCAGAAGAGGGCATCAGAGCCCATTATAGATGGCTGTGAGCCATCATGTGGGTGCTGGGAATTGAACTCAGGACCGTTGGAAGAGCTTCCAGTGCTCTTAACCACTAATCCAAAGTGTGTTTCTTTGGCTCTGTTCAGGGGGTGTTTCTTTAGCTGGCCCTTTTTCCCTAAACCAACGAGGTCTAACAACGTGGAGGAACTCATGAATGAATGAGTTCCTGCCTTGCCAACATAGCACCCGTTAGGAATGGGTGGTTGGTGGGCGCAACTGCTCCTGGAGAATCCCATGCTGCAGGTGGTACTGAGGCCTGGCTGTGCCAGTGCGGGGCTGTGGGAGAGTCTCCACAAGGGAGGCAACTAGAGAAGGGGTGGGGGTGGTCAGTCTGGGAATGGGTCCTGTGACCCCTGGCTCATATAAGGTGTGGTTGGTGAAGTCACCCAGGTCCCTGTGTCCAAGCCTGCCCTTCAGCCCAGCACCCAATCTGCATCTTTGAGGCCCATCTGGGGTCCTCAGTCTGTGTTGGGACTGAGACTTGAGATCTGTAAGCGCTCAGTGCTCAGCTCATAGTTCACCAGGAAGGGCACGCGTGACACATCCCATGAGGCTAGAGGCTACTGTAGCCTGCTACGCCAGACTGCCTCTGCAGTCTGCAGAGAGGCTCTGCCTCTCTGGGGCTGCTTCACCTTCCTTGAAAGGGAGGAACAGGGCAGAATCTGTACAGCCTGCAGTGACATCGCCCTTGTCCTCGCTCTCCCTGTAGTAGGAAACCTATGTCATCAGCTGCCCTGCCATCCAGCCAGTCCTGGGCTCCTGGCTCAGCACCCACCCCAGCCTTAGCTGCGTTACATAAACCATGGTGTGAAGTGCGGGGCAAGGGGTGGAGGAGTGGAAAAGCTGACCAGCGTGGCAGCAGGGTGGTTGTGGGAGGAATGGAGCCAGCCAGGTGTGGGGACACGTCTGGGCCGAGCCACCGGCACGTGGAAGGTCTGGCATCTCTTGAGCCCAGTTGCTGCCAAACCAGATTAGGCCCAGGTCCCAGCCCCTTGGAAAATATGGCCTTGCATGGGAGCGGAGGAGGTGCTATGGCAGCTGCATGGTTGATGGCACAAGGCCCTAGGTCACGTCTGGTGAACCACCAACCTGCCAGGGCAGGAAAAGGCAAGACGTGGCCCTAGGCTCTGGCCTGGCAGCAGTAGGCCCAGGTTCGAGTCCTGCTGTATCCGGAAGAGCTTCCCAGCAGTCTCCACCCTCTCTTCCCCAACAGGCGCCATAGGCTCAGCTTACAGCGTCGTACTCAACCCGGCAGATTCCCACGTGGAAGCAATGGCCAGGGCTGGCCGGTACACGTTCACTGCAGGTGAGCTAGCATCCCAGCAACAGGGACAGGGACCATTCTTCATAGGTGATAGACAGCTACTGAGTGGGGCCCCAGGAGACTGGCCCTGGGGTGGCTCGGGGCTTAGAAGGCAGAGTAGTGGCACCTAGCTTTGTCTACACAGACAGCCAGGTGGCAGCTCAATGCTGCCTCGGTTTCCCACCTTCGACCCCCACTTCACCTTACAGCTGCCATTGGAGCTATGTTTGGCCTTGCCACCTGTGTCAGTGCCCAAGTCCGAGAGAAGCCAGATGACCCCCTGAACTACTTCATCGGAGGCTGCGCAGCAGGCCTGACCCTGGGAGCACGCAGTGAGTAACCACCCCCCTAGGGCAGTACATGACACCTGATTGCTTCCGCCTACTCCCTCTTTGTCTCAGTCTTGATAGAGGCAGTTGCTGCCATTTCAGCACCAGGCAGCACTATGACAGTCACAAGTGCTGCAGCCCACAGGCCCTGCACTGATCACTGCAGCATCGTGCCAGGTTCCGTCCTGCCCCAGGGCCTTTGCACAGGCTGTGCCTTCCATCTAAATGCCCCCCCCCCCATGGATGTCTGAGTGGTGACCTCTGGCTGTCTTGCAAGTCACAGATAGTCAGTGACTGTCTCCAGGGTGGGAGATGGCCTGGGTCCTGCAGAGAGTAACCCTGCCTATCCCTCTACCATTTGGATGTAAACACTGTCCCCTCCCAGTTGGGACCTTTTGAGGTTTCACCCACAGTCCAATTTTGACTGGGACAGGCTCAGCCCCAGGCTACCTCCTCATATTTGGTGGGGTCCTGGGGTTCTGGCCAGGGGAAAGCCATACTGGCCCTCAGTTCAGTCGTGGGAAAAGGCTATAGCAGGGAGGTGTCCCACTGCCAGGAGCCAGGGCTGACCATATCCACCCTCCCCACATGATCTCTCTGGAATGGGGGTTAGTTGGTACAGGATAGCCTGGCCTTAGTTTCCCCATTTCCAAAGCTCCACTGATAGGCTCTTGGTCCCCGAAGAGGCCTAGTTCTGTCAGACCCCATCCCCTTGGGAGGCTCCCTGGTCACACCTAGAGCACACCGTGCCTGATGCTGTCCTTCCCCACAGCTCACAGCTATGGTACTGCAGCCGTGGGCTGCGTGTACATGGGCACTGCGGCCACGCTGTTCAAGATTGGCAAGCTGGAAGGCTGGGACCTCTTTGCCACCCCCAGGGTGTGAGCAGAACCCCCACAGCAAATAAACACTGTGTGTCCCTGTGGAGACTTGCTTTCTGCCACCTGCTGGTCTCCAGGTGTGTGTGTGTGTGTGTGTAAGCAGATGAGATGACACAGGTCAGATCTGTACTGGACACACGGAGGCAGCCAAGGAGAAGACCAGAAGACCACACGTGCCTGCCCACCGGTCCCCTGGGGCCAGAGGGAGCCAGGGTTGAGAGCTGGCTCAACACAATTCACATTCCCATGGTCAGCCACCAGAGAGTGGAAACCTGGCCACCTCTACACTCAGGTTGCCGGCATCCCCTCCCAGGCCTGCCCCAAAAGCTAACAGCTTCTGGAAAACAGGCCAGGCCCACACACCAGTTACTCCAAGTTCCTGGGCAATGGAGCAGAGAGCCCTGGTTAGGCTGGCCTATCCTGCAGGCCGCTGCAAGCCCTGGACCCAGGATGGAGCCAGTCAGCCTGGCCAGGTGACACAGGCTGCCTTGCAGGATCCCTGCCTAGTGCCTTGACAGCGCCTTGATTTAGGTGGCCCTGGAATGCTGGCGACGCCCGGCCCAACACTGGCTGAGCTTCCTGGCAACCATGGAGGAAGCAGTGGGCTCCAGCAGCCACAGCGGACATAAATCAAACTGTGTCCTGCCTAAGGAGCTGCTAGGCCTGGGGACTCGCTGCTGGGGAGCTTTATCTCCTGCCCTCCTGGAGGTCCAGACTGACATGTGTCCCCTGCCACCATCTCAGGATCACCTCCAGGGCTGTTTGAGCTGGACTTGGGGCTCACTGAGAAAGGATGGGGTTACCCTAAGAGGTACAAAGGACAAGGAGCTCAGGCCCCAGAATGCTGGAGTTCAGATGCTCTTTGGCTTTGAGTTCTGGGCTCCTGGCTGTGTCTCAGCACAGGCATGGAGCCTCGGCTCTGCCCCAGCAAACGGGAAGAATGACTTCCCTCTGTCATAGCAGGTCCCTCCCAGCTTCCTGGTTCTGGCAGTGTCCCCACAGAAGTCTGAATGGCCTGGGGTGGCCACTTGGGAATGCAGTGTTGTAACTTCTGGCCACTGTGACCACCATTTCCCTCCCATCCTGCCTGAGTGCCAGGGACGGGGGGGTTCTGCCAAGACCTGGCATGGTGCTGCCCTGCCCACTGCTCACTATTGGGTCTTCTGTGGGCCTGACGAGGGGCTTTGAAAGTCAACACCTTCTCCCCCTCTTGCCTTCCAGGGTGCTGCTGGCTCTGCATGAAGCCCACCCAGCCCTTTCTGGGCTAGCTGCCAGGGCTAGAGAGGCCTGCCAGGCCCCGCCTGCAGTCCAGACCCCCAGAAAGGGGCAGGATGAGGTGGCTGCTCACCAGGCTCCAGGGAGCCCCAAATCCAGGCCCCATTGGCTATAAAGTTTTACTAGCCAGTAAAGGGCTGATGTCACCCCCATATGGAGGCCCCATCCGGAATGTCCCCCAGCCTCCCGAATGGAGTAGTGGGGACCATCAAGACAGACTCCTTGAAGGCCTGGCAGAAAAGGTCATCCTCAGGCCAGAGCAGGTGTGGGTACGCTGGGACATACCCTTTCCTAGATATACCCAGCACACATGGGAACAGGGGCAACTGTGGCCGTGTTGCCCAATGGGATCTCTGGTGGTAAACCACAAAAGTGTCATCAGGACACTAGAGTTGAAGTGTGGCTTGGGGACTCCCACTCTACTCACAGCCCTCTGTCTTAGGACCAAGGACCAAGTCCTTGTAGCATGCAGTGCCGGCTCTGCTCCTGCCACACAGGCCTCATTCATGCTCCAACATGCCAGCTCCATCCTGCCCCGGGTCCTTTGCACATGGTGAGCCCTCACTGTCCTGGGGCCTCACCGCACAGATAAAGCATGTGGGGACCTTGTGGATTCCATGGCAGATGAGGGTGACTGAGGCGGGGCACAAACATGCCAAGCAGACAGAGCTTAAGTGAGAAGTTTTATTAGAAAGGGAAGGGAGGAGGGGAGAAAAAAATGTAGAGAGAGAACAGGTGAGAAGAGAGGCAGGAAAAGTCCTGTCTACCACAGGATAACAGTGAGCAGGGGTCTGTCTTAAAGAGTCCTTTGCACCTGCGCAGACTAGGCAATCATGGAACCCTGGGCTGACCAGGGCACTGCCTGAGTGCATTCTGCCAGGTGACGGGCAGGCCAGCATAATGCCTGAGTCCTTACAGTGAGCCTTCCGCAGTGGTTCTTCCTAGTTGGCGTCTACAGCTGCATGTCCTCTAGTTCTCAGCTGAAGCAGTCCTCATCCCCATAGGCTTCTCTCATGGGCATGTGGAGCCGGCTTCGTCCTGGCTGCTACACAACCCCACCCCACCCCCGGTTCTGCCCCAGCACCCAGCAAGGCTCACATAATTACACAGAATGACTGAGTGAAAGGTTCAGGTTAGATGGTGGCCGGGGTAGGGCAGGCCAGGAGAGCCATCCAGGGTTGAGCTGCTCACCTCTGGTGTGGGCTTGACCCCATGGTCCCGTCGTATCCAGCATTGATTGAGAGAGAAATGAACAAATAAGACACACAGGGTAAGAATAATGCCGGGGACACGTGAGGCTGGGCACATGATTGATGGCACCCACATCAGGCCGCTCACAGCCAGGCAGCTGCGGGGAACCTGAGGGCACCTGAGTGCACACCACATATGAGAGTGAAGACAAAGATCTTTGAAAAACGGGAGGGAGTGCAGTGTTAGTCACCAAGCCTGGTGCCCGGGCTCTATCCCTGAAGCCCACACATTTGGGAGCCGAGAACGGACTCCTGCGAGTTGTCCCTGGCCTTGGCACAAAGCACACTGAATGGATAAACGTGGTTTTAAAGTGGGGGCATGTGGGAGCCCGGGTCCATGAGGGGATAGTGGGTCTGTGTGGAGGGCTTGGGCAGGCCAAGGTGTGTCCCCACAGGGCAAGGCGTTCCAGGAGGTAGCCACTCAGGCTGAGGGCACAGCACTCCAAGACCCTGGGGTCCATCAGCAAGCAGTGTAGCATGCCTGCCATCCCAACACTGGAGGTGGAGTCCAGAGGATCCCCGGCTACATAGTGACTTTAAGGCTAGCCTGGGCTACAGAATCCTGTTCTGAAAAAGAAAACATCAAAGGAAAAACATAAAATGTCATCTTAGTAAAGCTCCTGATGGTGGGGGAGCACCGGCCCACCAACCAGAAGGAGTCATTGTCCACAGGGAAACTGAGGCACAGCACAGCCCATTCCTTCCCAGGTTCTCTCAGAAGCAAGCCCCCTCCCCCATCGGCCCACACAGGCTTAGGGCTTCCCGGAAGTGCTGGGTGGTCCGCTGGAGCCTCAGGGCCATGGGCTCTGACCCTGAACCTGAGCAAGGAAGGTGTGAGCCAGGTCGTGGGCGTGGTGGGGGAAGCATTCCGCCAACACGGAGGGGGCCCAGCTGCCCTGGGGCCTGCCTGGCTGGAAACCCGCAGACCCCACTCATTAAAGAAACAAAAAACTGAAATCACTTGTCTTTTTATGTCTAAAATGTACTTTATGGGTTTTTAGGTTTTTTTTTTTTTTCCCCAATAGGTAAAACAGACTCAAGCTACCCCAAAGGTTCTTAGGCTGCAGAGAACGGACCTCAGCAGCCCCGCCCCCCAACACACACACCACCGCCTGGTGGGGGAGGGCCCCAGCCCGAGGTCCCCTTTCTGCTCCTGGCCGCTGTCTTTGTGTTTCTTCCCTCCGGCCTCATCCCCATCCCAGCCTGTCTGCCCTTTTTAGTGACAGTATACTATTCTAGTCTTCTCCGACCTCTTTAAAGTCACGTCCTGGGGAGCTGCCCCGTGCCCACAACCTGTAATGTGTTAATTAGCAAGTGGGTTTTCAGTTTACAGAGAAACTGAGCCACAAGGATAAAGTTCCCATAAATCACTGTCGTTGTCCCTTTGTCCACCCAGGGCCCCAGCTTGGCACTAGTGGAAATGTTTGTTGCCACAGTGTTGGCCAGTGTTGATACCTGCCAGAAATCAAGGCCTGGCTGACCCTGTGAGCACACGTGGATGGTGTGAAATACCCTTACCCTAAAACTGTGTGTGTCCCTCAGCCTAGCATCCACCCAGACCTTTCAAAGCGGCTCCTTGCACTCTGCCATGTCCATGTAAAGACTCTTCTAGTCTTCACACCTGCTGGCCCCTTGTTTAGACTTGTTTAATATTCCATTTTCTGGATATATCACAGTGCGCTCCAGTCACCCAGGGAAGGACGTGCAGATATTGTTGTCATCCTTCTTGCCTTTGCTCCTTGAGATCTGGTCTCACTGTTTGGCCTAAAAATCATCCCCCTGCCTCCACCTCTGGGGTGCTAAGATGCTGGGTGTGTGCCACCAATGCCCAGCCTGAAGGAAATCCTGCTTGCTTGCAAATCCCAGAGATTATGTAAATGGTTCAACAAACATCCGTGCACATGGGTTTGGTGTGGACACAAGTTTTTACCTCCTTTGAGTAAATACTAAGAACGTGACTGGAGGAACCTGTGGTCAGAGCAAGTTAGCTTTGTGGGAAATCACCATGGCCTTTCCCCTAGCGGCACAGCAGGGGGCCCATGGCCCCAGGTCCTCCATCATGGCCTCTCAAACTTTGCTCAACAGTTAGTTGAGCCCCTTGGAAGCATGGGAGTTATTTATGCCATTTTAGAGACAAGACAAGGATCAGAGTCACATTCCTAAGGTCACACAGTAAACGGAGAGAAAGCCAGTACCCTCATACCCAGACATCCCTGGATAACCGGTGTTGAAGCATGGAGAGGGGTTTACAGAAGAAGAGAGGGTGAGAAATAGCATGGGAGATAGATTTGAGGACAGAAGGGGAAAGGCTGGCTGCTCCGGAGAGCCCTGGGTGCCGGATGCTCAGGTCCTTCTCTGGACTGAGTCTGTCAAGAAATACCCAGCATATGTGAAGATCCAAATGCTGCAGCTGCCCCCTATGCAGCTTCACTCTGGGAACACGGCTGTCCTTTGCTACTACAGGTCCAGGACCTGGTCTCCATCGTGGTGCTCTGGGGACAGCTGAAGGCCATCTCTGGTCTCTTCCC